TCTGAACCTGATAAGAGTTTCCCCCGTTTTGCTATAACCTGCCTACCTGTGGCTCCCACTAATGGATTTGTAGCTGCTTTGATTTGTAACTCTTTAATACGTGGGCAATAAAAATCCCATATTGTAACTACTTTCATAGTGGAACATGATTTTGGGGAGACCAGAATCCATGTTCCTGGGCTCTGCTCACTCATATTTGGCAACAGCATAAATGCTGTCTTATTCCCTTTGAGGTGAGAACTATGGTTTTGAATCAGTAGTTATAACCGGTTACCAAATGTGGGGCCCCAAGGACAATCCATGATCACTGGTGGAGTTAGTGGGCTTGGTGTCAGGGACCAATAGGAGGCTCCTTATTCCCAAGTATTGGGCATGCCTCCTCAGGTGGGTACCGTGAGTTCTGCATGGGGCTCAGCGCTCCGCTCCTTGTGTGGTTGGTGGTACATCTGTTTATTGTGAGATGGTGTGGGATCTTGTTGGATAACCTTTTGGTTTCTTTCAAAATGTTCCATTGAAAGAGTTCAGTTTGTTTACTTGCTTTGGAAGCCTTTTAGTGTCTGACTGTTTATTTATTTTGTTTTCAGACCTCTGAAATAATTATTGTTTGATAATTTGGCAGCAATCTATTTTCTTTTTCTGGACACTCCTCCCTGTACCTAATCTGAAGGAAGGGGAGACACATCTAGAAAAATATTGTTATACTAGCTGGATATGTGTTTGGTAATTTACAAAAATTAATAGGACTTATGCTAAAAGATGCTAAATACAAAAGTAATTAAAGTTTTTAGAGGGTATGTCAGAATTAAAGAAAAACTTCCAAGAACTCTATTGTCAAACTCCTGTTCTCTTTTACCCTTTTCTGGCCTTATCTCTTCCTTGTTTATCTCTAAACAGAAGAAAACTCTGTGTCAAAGAAGAGGGTTGTTCTGGCTTGTTCTAGGATAAAACCTAGAAGCAATCCTATTTTACATTAAGAACTCCCATTTGTAACAACTCTGGCGATTAACTCCTGAGCAGGGATGATATTCCAATTTAAATAAACAGGTGTTCTGGGTTCCTGTCTGTCATGATACAGCACTCTGATCAAAAGCTGTTTGGGAGGGAACAGTTCTTTTAGCCTACATTTGCTTGACACAGTCCTTCACTGAAGGAAGTCAAGGCAGGAACTTTCACAGCAAGAGCTTGAAGCAGTAACTGTGATGGAACAGCTGTTAGCTAGCTTGTTCTCAGGTTCATGCTTGGCCAGCTTTAATATCTGCCCAGGGAATAATGCTGCCCATAGTACAGTAGGCTAGTTACAGTCAAGATAACCCCCTGCAGACATGACCACGGGCCAGTCTAATCTGGGTACTCCTTCAGGTGAGAGACTCCCTTGTCTGGTGATGCTAGGCTGGGTCAACTTATCAGTTAAAGCTAATGATGACAAGAAGATTTCTTATGTCTTAGAAATAAAATGATGTGAAATTTCTCCTTTGTTTTACTTCATTCTCGAGAGAAGGTCTCACTGTGTAGTCTCTGCTGACCTGGAACTCACAGAACTCCACCTGCCTCCCAAATACTGTTAGTGCTGTGATTAAAGGCATATACCACCATACCCAGATGCTTTATTAAAAAGTACACTCTAAGTATGATAAGAGTCCCATGGACTACCAGGGTACCTTCACAATAATTGTCTTTGCCATCTTGTATGCCCTGAAAGAACTGAGTAACAAAATTATTTTTTGATAATCATTGTATTTTCAAGGCTCTTGAGCAACATGCATTAAGACATGTGCATGTTTCTGAATATTTATGTTTTCATATGTGTGATTATAAGCATTTTAGTGTAATTTTTTTTAGTATTGCTACTACTTCTGAAAAATGGATCCTTGTATTTGGCAAGCTGCGGTAACTGCAACTCTAAAACATTACAGAGAAAAGGGTGACTTTACACCTGCGTAAAACCTTAGAAAGCTCTCACTAATGTGTCTCATCACATCAAAGATATACCTCTTTGATTGCATGTATTTGGGACAGTAGCTTACATAAACAGATGACCCAAAAGTAAGTAAGATACAGATATGCCTGACTTTGATTTTGCTTTTTGGTTGGATTGAGGACTCAAATTAAAGGACAATGAATTTGAAAACATGCAATATTTATCCACATAGTTCTGAGTTAGTTCACTCAATTTAATATTTTCTAGTTCTGTCCACTTATCTGCAAATGCCACAATGCCATTTTTATTCATAGGTGAATAGTATTGTGTATATAAACCATTTTTTAAAATTATCCATTCATTATTTTAAGGACATTTGGGTTGTTTTCATTCCGTAGTTATTTTAAGTATAGTGGCAATGAACATGGCTAAGCAAATATCTCTAGAGTAGGATGTTGAGTCCTCGGGGCATATTCCAAGTACTGGCATAACTGGGTCATATGGGAGATTTATTTTTAGCTTTCTGAGATTTTTCTACACTGGTTTCCAGAATGGCTGCATCTGTTTGCATTTAGCAGTGGCTGAGGGTTCCTGTTTCCTAGGACCATTTTTGAAAGATGTTATCTTTTCTCCAATGTATATTTGTAGCTTGTATGTCAAATACCAGATAGCTGTAGTTATATGTACACATGTTCTGTTTTGTTGTTTTGGTCTACATGTCTGTTTTTCTGCAGTATCTTGCTATTTTTATTACTGTGGCTCTGTAATATAATTTGATATCTGGAATGGTAATCCCTCCAGCATTGTTGAAATTGCTCAGGATTTTTATTGTTTTGAATAAGTGCAACATTTTCCTTGCATCCTTAACAGTATGTGCCATCATTTGTTTATTGATTTTTGGCCACTCTGACTGGTGTAACATGTAATCTCAATGTGATTTTGGTTTGCATTTCCCTAGTGGTTAAGGATGTTGAACTTTTGTTTCTGAGTTGTTTGTGCTTCGTCTTTTGAGAACTCTGGTTAGTGAGAACTCTCACTTTTTAATTGTTATTTGTTTTCTTGATATTTAGTTTTTTCTTTATGTATTTTAGATACTAGCCTATTAGATGAATAATTGGTAAAGATATTTTCCTATTCTGTAGGCTGCTGAATTGCCCAAATGCTGTGCAGACGCTTTTCAACTTCATAAAGTGCCATTTATTAATCGTTATTCTTAGTGCCTGTGATTTTTGTGTCCTGTAAAGCCCTTTCCTATGCCAGTGAATTCAAGTTATTCCCACTTTCTCGTCTATTAGGTTCAGTGTATCAGGTTCAGTGCCTTCTGTTGAGATCTCTGATCCATTTGAGGTTAAGTTTGTGCAGGATGATAAGTAATTCTACATGCAGCCATTCTGTTTGACAAGCAACATTTGTTGAAGATGCCGTATCCTTTTGTAGTGTTTACCTCTGACTTTATCAAACCTCAGGTGTCCATGGGTGTGTGGATCCATATCTGGGTTTTTAATTTGATTACATTAATCAACATGTCTGTTTTTATTACTGTATCTCCACAGTACAATTTGAGATACTTCCAGTGGTTCTTTTATTATTCAGTTTTTTTTCAGCTGTCCTAGATTTTTGTGTTTATTTATGAAATTGGAAATTGTTTTTCAAGTTTCTATGAACAATTATCTTGGAATTTTTATGTAGAGTGCATTGAATTTGTAGATTGCCTTTGGAAGAATGGACATGTTTACTATATTAATTCTGTCTATCTATGAGCCCAGGGGATCTTTCCTTCCTCTGGTGTCTTTTTACACTGGGACTTGTACTTAGGAATTTGTTATTTGGTTGTTATTTGTTGGGTCTCATTGCTTCTTTTAGGTGGGTGTGTTTGTGATGAGGACGAGGTTGCTGTATAGTCATTTTCCATGTTCAGATTGTGTGCAAGGTACCATGCTGTATCACTAGACCTTCCCCTAGGGTAATTACTGGCTGCAGCAGTAGGACCCCTGAATTCTTAGGTCTACTTGATAGCTTGCACATTTTTCTACTTCCTAGAAGTCTTGGCTTGCTGCCAGGAGATTCTCTGTGATGGATGTCTCATACTTATATTCTCCATTTCTAAGGACTATCTGGACCAGTGTCCATGTCTTTCTCCATTTCTGGCGTTGGCTCCCCTGTCTTTGTGGTTCAGACTTTTTGTGGGTGGTGCTTCTATTTGTGACTAACTCTGCGTGTGTGTTCCTCTTACCTTTTTGAATGAGCTCCTGCATGTCTGTGTTCAGTATTGTGTTCTTTGTAGACGTAGCTTCTTTTGGCTTGGTTAGGTACTATGAGCTATGTGAAACTAAGTTGTAGAGAAAATGGTGTTTATGTGCAGGTAGGTAGCTGTAGTTATTTACAACTAACTAACCTTACTTGGTTAGTTGTAGTATAGTCTCAAACCTCAGGGGAATCTTTGTTGATGGGGCAAAGATGAGTTTGAGCCAAGGGATGGCTTTTGTTTTCATGGGGGTGTTTCAGGAATGTATGGGTTGGGGAGACTCAGGCTGCAGGCAGGCATTTCTGGCCTGATGAGCTTGCTCTGATGGGATGTGGGGACAGGGGAAATTAATAGATGAGAGGGTGCACTATCCCTGGTCTCACTGGGATGTCTCAAGTGCATGTGTGAGCTCGGGCATACAGTGTCTGACCTCACTGAGGCTATCCCATGGCATATGGGTGGAAAGAACCTTGAGAGTGTGTGGGTGTGTAGTCCCTGATAAAAAAGGGGTAGTCAGGGGGGAGGGGGCAATAGGAGCCTTTTATTTGTCTTGTTTGTTCGTTTTTAATTTGAGGAAGGCCCAGCAGAGGCCAGGCTAGCCTTGAACTTAACTATGTAGCTAAAACTGGCATTGAACTCTTTTTTTTTTTTAAAGTAGTAATCCATATAAGGTGTTATTTCATTAAAACATTAACTCTACAAAGCCAGAACAGGTTCAGGCCCCCTAAGAAGTGCCAAATAAGGTCATTTTTCTCTACTATGTTCAGGGCAACTTTCTACTGCTTTCATGAAGCTCTCTTCTTGTGCAATTTAATTTCTTTCTTCTTTGATTTTTAGATTGTTCCTAACTTTATAAAGCGCATCCAGACCAAAATCAAAGATCTTCTCCAGCAAATGGAGGAAGGACTGAAGACAGCTGACCCTCACGATTGCTCTGCGTATACTGGTTGGACAGGTGGAGTAGGAACCCTTATGTTCCATTCCTATATACTGTATACTTATATACTATGGTATATAAGCCGAAACTTGACGTTTCCTCCTATTTTAAAACAGTGACATTCATACTCTTGAAGCATTAGACAGTTTTATTATGAGTCATTTTGTAGTTTTGTTTCTGAAGAAATACTGTCTGAAAGTTTGATCTTTATTATGTAGTATATTTTTATAACATTTAACCTCATACAGCTATGCACATCTATGGCAAGAAAAGGTCTACTCTATGTTATTTTGTTGGTTTGGTTTTGTTCTAGTTTTCTTTTTGTCAAACTGTGATTAAATGGTGTCTCTGGTCTGTTTCATAAATGGTTACCTTGTTGGTTGTACTTAATTTGCTTCAAATCGTTTTAATTATTTATATACATAAACATTTTCTTTTAATGATAGATTTATTACATCATTTAAACAAAAAGTCATGTAATTCAGGATCTGAACACTCACCTGCTTTAACTGACTTTACATTTTTGCTGTTCTAACTCTGGGCTCTCTTCTTCCTGGTTCTCTTGATCGATGCTATAGGAGCTCAGATGAGATACACAAAGCAGAGTTTAGGAAATAGCAGGTGTTTAGTACAGATTAAAGCTGAGCACTTTGTCAAGGGGATGGAAGTAGCAGCCCAGGGATCACTTCATAGTGTAACTACTGTTAAAGGGGATGGAAGTGGGTAGTGGCCACAGGGGTCACTTCATAGAGTAAGTACTGTTAAAGGCTCTGCGTGAACAGTGAACAAAGTGGTCATTGTGCAGTCTATGTCATAGGCCAAATGTATACTATTTCCAGAACAGATAGCTTTTTCTGAGGGCCCTTTTCTGTCCAGGGCATGGACAGTCTGTTTGGATAGACTATTGGAGCTATGTTTGTCCTTTATGAGGGTGCCTGATAGATAGTAATCCTACCAGGTTTGGGATCCTGGGATGAGGTTTAGGTAACTATCTGTTACTGGCACATTCTTTTGACTAGTAGTTAGTTTTAAACCTTGAGTATGCAAGTTTTAAATTAAGGCATGGTCAGCTCCAATGTGCCCCAGGCCTACAATACCTAACTGGCTACTTAACATTACCAGGTAGTCAGAACATTTTCGTAGCTGTATGAAGTGTATAAAGTAAGACAGACCTTGTTCTCTGAATTATAGTCAAGTCTGATTAGCATGCTAATAATTCACATTTAGAGACTTTCCTTTTAGCTTTAAAATAATATTTTACTTATTCTTTGAGAATTTTATACATTCATACAATGTATTTTCATTATATATACCCCCTATTACCTCTCTCCAGATTTCCAGGGCCTGGAACCTGTCTTTCTCCTAACTTAGTGTATGCTTTTATATTATTAATACTAATGATAATAATCCCCTGAGTCAAATTCATGTTGAGTATGTGTACATGGATTTGTAGTCATTCACTAGGGCAAGGGCAGTCTACCAGCCGCCACTGTGACTGCAAAGTGACTCAGGGCCATCCTCCCCATCAATGCTGGAGTTTTAGGTGGCTTAATCGTACATATAAGTCTTGTATAGACAATCAAGGCTACTTCGAGTTGCGGTATGAAAACAGCCATGTCATCTCCAGAAGACAGCGTTTCACAACTCTGCTCTGCATCCTCTAGCTCTTACATTCTTTCAGCCTCTTCTATGATGTTTCCTCAGACACAGAAGGGGGGGGGGATTGTTATAGATAACCTATCTCAAGCTGAACACTGGCAGTTACTTATTTTGGCACTTTGATCAGTTAGGACTTTCTGCATTAAGCACTGCAAATAAATAAATAAAAAAGCTTCTCAATCCAGGTTAACATCAGCACAAACCTGTTTGCACAAACATAAATGTTTATAAGACAATTTGAAAATATTAACATTTAATGATACAAAAATAGTAGACTCTTCCTAGGGCTTATATAACCTTCCATTTATGGTCTTTGACTGAGTTTGCAGTGGGATATTTCTCATATTTTTCAAGTCTCATGCATCTAAAGTTGGTTGTAAGGTGATAGATACAGGTCCAGTCTCGTTCTTTCGCATTGGACATCCAGTTTTTGTAGCACACTTCTCTTTGGCTCATGGTTTTGGCATCTTTGTCAACAATAAATAGCTGAGATTACGTGTATTCATGTTTGGGTCTTTAGCTTTGTTTCATTGGTCTGCGTGTGTGTTTTTGGACTGTTATCATAATGTTTTGTATCACTCCGCATTCTTTTTGATCAGGATTGTTTTGGCTCTCGAGTTAAATTTTAGGATAGTTTTTTTCCATTTCTGTGATGAATGCGATAGGAATTATATTGATTCTAAAATAGCTTTTTGGAAAATGGTCATTTTCACAGTATTCATTCTACAAACCACGAACGTGTCTTTCTTCAGCAGTTTGAAGTTGTTTTTTAAATTTTCTTTTTATTTATTTTTTGTGTCTTTCACATCATGTATCTTTTTAAAATTTTTTTTTATTTTACATATCGATCCCAGCTGCCCCTCCCTCCCTCCCTCCCTCCCTCTCTCCCTCTTTCCTTCTGTCCCACCCTCACATGTACCCCGACAACCCTCCCCTCCCATCCCCCACCTCCACATGTACCCCGACAACCCTCCCCTCCCATCCCCCACCTCCACATGTACCCCGACAACCCTCCCCTCCCATCCCCCACCTCCACATGTACCCCGACAACCCTCCCCTCCCATCCCCCACCTCCACATGTACCCCGACAACCCTCCCCTCCCATCCCCCACCTCCACATGTAGGGTGATGCCCTCCAGGAGGGGTCATCTAAATCTGTCAAATCATTTGAAGTAAGGACTAGGACTTCTCTCCTGTCTCTAGGTTAAGGCAGTATCCCTCCATGGGGGATGTGCCCTGCAAAGTCCTTTTGTACACCAGGGATACGTCCACTGTATGAGGTCCCTTAGACTTCTCAGGCCTTTCAGCTGAGACCCATGTTCAGGAGGTCTGAGTCAGTCCCACGCTGGATTCCCAGCTATCAGTCTGGGGGCCCGTTAGCTCCTCCTTGTTCAGATCAGCTGTCTCTATGTGTTTCTGCAGCGTGGTCTTGTCCTCCCTCTCTGCATCTGGATTCTAGTTCAGCTCAGTGTTTAGTTGTGGGCCTTTGCTTCTGTTTCCATCAGGTACTAGATGAGGGCTCCATGATCACATCATGTATCTTGTATTCATTTCCCCATTCCTGAGTGTCTGCCCTCTGCCCTTGCAATCTCCCTCCCAAAATAAAGTAAAATTTAAGAGAGAGGAAGAAAGGAAAAATCTAGTTATGGAAGGTGTAGTACGACAGTGAGTCATACAGTAAACCCTTTTGTCCATGTATCTTTACTTGAAAGTGTTCCTTGCAGAGACGCATTGTTCTGGTTCAAGGCTTCTGGTCTCTGCTATACTATCGGTGCTGGGCGCTCACTGGCGCTCCTCTTGAATGTCTTGTTGTTGTGCTGTATTATACAGATCTTTAAGCTTTGGGTCTGCTGGACCAAAGTGCTCTAGCACATCATAGATGGGTGGATGTTGGGGTGGGCAAAGTCATAACCCTGGTTCTGGGCCTGGGTAGTTGCAGGGTTGGTCAGCCCACCAGCTCTCCCCACCCTCACCACCAGGGTGAGCTCTCCAGCATCGCCCTGGCCAGTTCACTCCTTCCAGCAATGAATAAGGGGCGGGGCTACTTCTCCTGCTTTCACACCCTCAGGATCAGTCCAGCCACACCTGAACCATCAGAGCCAGATCTACCCCGTTGCCCCGATGAGGTGCAGGGTCCACACTCCCAAGTGCTGCCGCTGGGGAGGGATAGGGAAGCTCTCTCACCCGTCTCAGGCACAGAGTGGGGCATCTCTCACTGCCCACACCACCTTGATCAACCTGAAGATGAATTAACTACTAAAGAATAAACAACTAGATATTTAGAGAAATTTAAAAATTAAAATAAGAGAATACAGATCAGATTATTAGGTAAATTAGATGAAGTCTAGAGTATTAAAGATCTTCAATTTTAGATTAAATGAACATCTTATTGACCCACTCTAACAACATTTATTTTAGTACTTTATTGTGCAGTGTGCTCCTGTTACATTGATTCCTTTTTTACCTAGTTATCATGCCGACTTCCTTTTTTTTCCTTTTTTTTAAACCATTACATATTAATTGAACGGATTAATGGGGTTCAGTGTGACACACTGCATGTACTGGTCAAATCCATGCACCCTTCTCCCATTGTCCCATCGCTCAGGAGTCAGAGTATGCTCTCGAAGGAAGTTATTCTTCAAAGGGTTTCTGCCAAGAACTCTCAGTACAATTGGTTCTTATCCTTCGTGAGGGGAGACTTTGACAGAGAATCTCAGTGTAGCCGTTCTGACCTCAGAGTCACTGTCATGTAGCTGAGAACGTCTTTGAATTGCTGACACTGCTGGATTCATCTGCTAGATGCTGGGATCACAGGCGTGAGCCACCACACCTGGCTCCGGATTTCTGTTTCTGTTTTAGAAGATGTTGGTGACAGGCAACCCAGTGTACCATGTCATGTGGTATTCCCTAATGGGGATTGGACTCCCCTGGTTAGATGCCTAGTTGTTTGATGAGGAAAGTAAAAACATGAAAGACTGTAGAAAATATAAAAATGAGAAAGGAGGCAGAAATTTCAGAAAGATAATCACTTACTGTAGAATCACATAGAAAGAAATTATTTGAGGAGAAGCAGAAAAGGAAGGAGTTACATTAGCTTGAGATTCAGGAGGACTGAGGATAAGCTGGGAGGATATGAGTCAGGACTGTGTCTTTTCTAAGCATAAATTGATGACTCACCACCTTGGGCCAGTAACAGAACGATAAGTTTCAACCTAATTTTTGTGTCTTGTTTTCAATTTTATGAAATAAATTACACTTTCTGTTGTTATTGTTCATGATGTCCATTTCAAAACTCACAATCTTTGTAGAAGATGTTTTGCATAATTAGAAAATTACTTCCTGAAGGTAAAAAGGAAGATAGTAATGCTTTTCATTTGGGGGTGGGACTCATTCCAGGCATAGCACTTTTGTACCTGCAGCTGTACCGGGTCACTGGTGACCAGACCTACCTGCTCCGATCCCTGGATTACGTGAAGAGAACCCTCCGAAATCTGAGTGGTCGCAGAGTCACTTTCCTTTGTGGAGATGCTGGGCCCCTTGCTGTGGGAGCTGTGATATATCATAAACTCAAAAGTGAATGTGAGTCCCAGGAATGCATCACCAAGTGAGTTTTAAAACTTGAAAATGTCTCCAAAGGTTTTGTTGAAGAATTACTGAGAAAAGATGTTCAACCATTAGCCATTTTCTAATCTGCAGTTGCAAACAGGTCTGTCTGAAAGTGAAGTATGTTAATCTTAGTGGTGGGATCATATGAGTGTGCCTTAATTTCAGTGGGACTTTAATAACCATTCTCAACAATTTTTGATTGCCTTCAGTGCGTGAAAGTGAGTTCACATCCATGAAAGTAGTTTGAGAATAACTAATCCTGAGTTCAGTCTTTAGCACTTAGTTATAGTGACGCGGGAATGATGATGGACCGTGAAGGTTTTTGCAGTGGTTAGTTTATATTCTTGAACAAGCAGAAAGCAAGGTCTCTTCCTTGGATCTGGTAGAGTATCTGGGCCATGAGGACATTTCATGTTGCTGGAGATGGAGTGACTTAGTCTTGCCTAAGAAGTAACACCCTCAGCTCCATCTTACCTAGACTTTACACCCCTTCCTTCTGATCTAGATTTTAAAGTATGAACTCTGGTTTTACGGTATGATTTAGTGACATAGACGTGAACATTTGGAATCTGTTTCAGAGCTGGAGATTGAATGCAGGACCTCAAATACTTTTAACACCGACCTACATCTCTAACCTATATGCTTTTATTCTTAATTTTGTTATTTGAAACAGGAGGTAATAGAGAGGTTTGACTATTTTATGAACTTGGGGTTATTTTTCAATCATTGAGAGATTTTTTTAGACATTTTCTGGGATAATCCTTTGTCTTGTTGGTTAGACTTCTACAGATGCATAGAACCGTTGTCTGTCAAGAGTCGGAGCTTCCTGACGAGCTGCTGTATGGACGGGCAGGTTACCTGTATGCCTTACTGTACCTGAATACAGAGATTGGTCCCGGCACTGTTGGTGAGACAGCTATTAAAGAGGTATTGTGGGCCTACTGGATCTACCTATTTTCAAAGCTAGCTGATGACATACAGTTCTGGTAATACCTGGAGCCTCTGCTTCTAGGTGGGATTAATTTTACTTTTAAAGTATCTCATAAAATATTTTTCAGAAACAGCTACTTTTCTTCTCAAACTTTAAAAATCAGTGGTCTTATTGGTTAGGTTGTATTTCATTGGAACTATATAGTTCAACTTTGAAAGGTTAGAGGGAGGTGATGATAATTGGGTATTTATAATCTGTTCATTCTGGTCGCTGTCCTCTACATATACCCTATCCACATAACTGAATGTAGTTTGGTACACTTAGCCTGCTTGGAAAGGGAAAAGAAACAGCTGCCATTTACAAGATGCCATCCTGTCTGCTCATGTCTCGTTCCCCTAGCTTAGATGGCTGGCCACAAGGCTGGGTGCCCATCTAAAACTTGCAGCATTTTACTATCGTGAGTCTTTGCCACAAAGTCATTCCAGACATTAGACCATAACACGGAAGACCACATTTCCTTAGCTCCCACTTCATCAGTGAAGCTAGTACATGTCTAGGAGATGTCCTTGCTGCCTTTTAGAGAAAACTTGACAGCTATGAAGCAAGTAAGAACTTGGAAGAGTTTTTAGTAGGAAGGCTCTATAGGATTTAGTAACTTTTCATACTAAGAACTTCAGTTCCATAGACTTCTTTAATATGTTTTTCTCCTCAAGCATTACTTTGTGATTTTCTCTGACTGAATTATTAAATGAAATAAATTGTTAAGATAATGGCCGCTCAATTTTTTTTTCATTAAGTAACTTCTCTGTGTTCCCCTACACACCAATGTTAATTGGAGTAGATGGAGATGCTTGTAAGTTGTTTTGATAAGATGATGCCTTTTTGTCTCTACAGGTAGTCACTGCTATTATTGAGTCAGGAAAGACTTTGTCAAGGGAAGAAAGGAAAACTGAGCGCTGCCCCCTGTTATATCAGTGGCACAGGAAGCAATATGTTGGAGCAGCCCATGGCATGGCTGGAATCTACTACATGTTAATGCAGGTACATAAAATATGTACCTGCATAATGACCATATTATAATAGATTAGACCAATATGAATGGGGCATTAATTCTTCATAGGGACCAGATGGGCTGGATTGACTCACAGATACTTAACTTGCCTTTACAGCAGTGAATTCCTGAAAGTACGTTCTGTATATAGTTGATACCAGAATTGCTGCCTGTCAACCACAGCTTCCTTCTGTTCTGGTCCTGCTGATGAAGTGGGGACTCGTTAATGATGATTATGGGCTTTAGATTCAGATACTTAGGCTGATTTTGTTCTTTAAGGGAAATACAAATTACGAAAACTTTATTTACTTGTTCTTCAGGTGAAGTACACAGAAGCACTATATAGTAACAGCTGTTTAGAAATATGTGATAGCCTTTACAGACATAGCTAAGTAGTGTGATGAAGCTGGCTTGCTACCTTTTTCGGAGATGGCTACATGGCTTAAGAGCTGTATGTACATATCCTCTGGCCCATACCACAAGTCCTATGGTCATGCCATCTCTCAGTTGTCATCTAGAAGACTGTCATTTTAGTCTATGAAAACATTTCCAATTGTATTTGATAAATGGAAGTCCAGTTGTACAGTGGTAGGACAAAAATATGTTCTCTGACAAATCCTTTCTAAGTAACAGTAAGAACAAAATCAGAAATTCCAATTCTTTGGTGGAACTAGGAAACATATAGGCCCCCATAAAAAAGTATAAATTGAAAATAAGTTTAAAAATAAGCAAATGATCTAACAGGACAGAAGATCACACAGAAATGCCAGAGGAGACTGTCAGCAAGAAACTAGCTCATTTCTTCTGCAGAACCATAGAACTGGCAACTCAGGTGCCGTGGAACACAGAAGCTACACCAGGCGTGTGTCTGTGTTGAGATGAAGCCAGTGCAGTGGAGGAAGGGGCTTCTTCACACATCTCTAAGGAGCCTTTGGATTTGTCAGACTCTTCCTTCCAGTAATTCCTGTAAGGAACAAAAGGAATTGGAGCTTGAAAAACAAATCATCTGTTTTGATTAGAGAAGGCCAGGCTAAGAAGAGAGCAAAGGGAGTTGAATTCCACATGACACATGGGACTGGACAGAGACTGATTCTTTAGCCTAGGCTTTATCAATAATGCAATATGTGAGGGCCTCATAATAGGTCACACGAAAAGATATTTAATTAGTGTCACTTGCAATTTGTTGCCACCATTTTTTGATGAGAATTTGTATGGTATCTTGAAACCCTTTGAATGTTTTTACATTTCACTACTTTTATAAAACAAAATAAAAGTCCATCAAAATAGTAAAATAATTTCCAATTGTTTGTAGTTGTAACTCCTTAGTAAAACTGTAATGCAAATATGATTCATTTTATGAGGTAACAACTAATGAATGTTTCTAATAAGTAATAACCATTATACAAATTACTGAATGACAAGCATATACTTTCTTTTTAAGCATATACTTTTCAATAGGAGCTAATTATTCTGATTACCTTATAAAGAAACTGAGGTTAAATAATTTGGCCAAAGTAAAAAAGTAAATTGATAGATTTGTGAGATGCATTGTGCCTTTAAGGAGGAAGTAAGAACCACATGGGGGCAAATGAAAGATTAGTATTTAGGCAGCATACACACACACACACACACACACACACACACACACACACACACACACACACCTTTCATAGTCCAGGGTTTATCAGAGAGGCCCTCAGCTCTTCTCTGTAGGATGGTTTGATTTCAAGTGTTGGTAGTGTTGGTCGATTCATCAAAGAATAGAGTTTAACATATTGAAACACTAATATATTCAAGATTTCAAAGAACTGAAACAAACAAAAAAGCTGTATCTGAAAAAAAAAAAAATCCGCAAGGTTGAATTCTAATTTTGCGTCTTCCTTAGTGTTATGGATAACTAATACTTTATTAGATTAGCCTTTTTAAAGTGTTTTAAAAAAACAGAAAAAATAATTTTATTATTTGTGTGTGTGTGTGTCTCTAAAGCCAGAAGCAAAAGTGGATCAAGAAACCTTAACAGAAATGGTGAAGCCTAGTATTGATTATGTGCGCCACAAAAAATTCCGATCTGGAAATTACCCATCTTCATTAAGCAACGAAACAGATCGATTGGTCCACTGGTGCCATGGGGCTCCAGGCGTCATCCACATGCTCTTACAGGCGTACCAGGTTAGTAATTCTGTATTGCCCTCAGGGTCCAAGGGCATAGTTTCCACCGCCAAGTTTTCAGATTGCTTCTGCAAAGCCTGTTCAGTTGTACAGTGAAAACTAGTTTTACATTTTGATCTCTGTGTTAGTGTGAGTACACACATGCCAGGTCATATGTGTAGAGCTCAGAGGGCAGCCTTGGATGTAATCTCCGTGTTTGTGTGAGCACGCACGCATGTGCCAAATGAAAGGGCAATCTTTGGTGTTGGTCTTTGCCTTCCATCATGTGTGAGCAGGGTCTGCTGTTGTTTGCTGCAGCACATGCTATGCTGGCCGGCCTGTGTGCTTCTGAGGGTTTCTTCCCTCTGCTTCCCTTCTCCTGATAGGAGTGCTGAGATTACAAATGTGCATCGTCACAGACACCTTCACGTGGGCTCTGGGGATCTGAAATCGAGGCCTTATGCTTATGCAAGTGCTTTACTGGGGAACCATCTCCCCCACCTCAGTTTGTACTTTTTAATTTAATTATGTGTGTACATTGTGTGATCATACATACATGTGTCCGTGTATTTATTTAAGGGCCAGTGGTTAGCCTTGGATATGGTTCCTCTAATACCATTCATATTGTTTTTTTCTGGATTCCTTACTGCCCTAGAACTCACTGAGTTCTAGGCTAGACTGACTGGCCAGTGGGCTCCAGGGATTAGCATTTCTCCACCTCCACAGTACCAGGATTACAAGCCAACAAATCTGACTTATTTTTTAAATGTGTGTGTGTGTGTGTGTGTGTGTGTGTGTGTGTGTGTGTGCTTTTTGAGATTATAAAATAATGATATTATTCTTCCCTTTACTCCCTCTAGTACCTCCTCTGTATCCCCCAGCTTTCTTTTAAATTCATGGCATCTTTTTCCTTAAGTGTTGATATATACATATATATGTTCCTAATATATAAATACAGTGTGTTCACTCTATATGACATTTCTTGTAAATGTATTTTTGGACTTGACCATTTTGTGTTGGATAACTAATTTCTGTGCTCTTCCCTGAGGATGACTATTTCTCCTACTCTCATCATTGCTTAGTTTAAAATCTGGAACAAGCCTGGGCATGCAGGTGTACTCCCTTTCTCCCAGCAGAAGCCAGCAGATCTCTGTGAGTTCAGGGCTAGCCTGGTCTACATAGTAAATTCTAGGCCAGCCAGGGCTACGTAGAGAGATCCTGCCTCCAAATAAAATAAATAAAATCAGGACTGAGATAGGGCTGTTCACTCTCTCCACTTATTTTCATTTAGTGTCTGAATCACTAGTTAAAGCAGCAAGAAAAAGCAGTAAAGAGATACAAGTCAGAAAAGAAGTCAAACTAACCCTCGTTGCAGATGACATGGTTTTATACATAATCGATCCCAAAGATCCCACTAGAAAGCTTCTAGAAATGACGAACACTTTGAGCAAAGTGACAGGACACAAAATCAGCTTGCAGAACTTAGCAGCCTTTCTATACACTAACAACAGACACACTGAGAAAGAGATCATGGAAGTGGCACTGTTGACGGCAGAAACAACAACAACAACAAGACAAGGAAACGTAGTAATAAACCTAAATAAGGAGGCAAAAGACCCCTACAGTGAAAACTCTAAATCTCTGAGATTGAGGACGGCATTATAAGATGGAAAGACTTCTTATACTCACAGATTGATAGAATAAACATTGTAAAAATAACCATTCTACCAAAGCCAGTGTACTAGGAAACAAGTATATACAGAGGGATGGATGAGCGGATGGACGGATGGATGGGCAGACAGGCGGACAGACGGATGGACGGACGGATGCAGCACTGGACTAGAGTGTATATAGATGGTCTAGTATATATCTTAGGTCCCCTTGACCTCTCAAGGCCTTTTCACACAGGGACTGCCTGCCACATGTTGCCTGGCCTAGGTGGCTCTCTGAAATTGTGAAGGAAGATGCAGCAACTTTTTAATAGTCCTTGCTGTAACATTGTTTCAAGTGTTCTTTTATCTTTAGAGACGTTTGCATTTCTGTGTGCCCCACTGCTCTTGTTCACTGTAGAGCTGCATAATAGTCATCAATAGTGATCATGCCAGAGACTCAAAATTATCCTGGCTTCAAATACTCTGCCAAAGAAATGAGTCATAGAGTCACTCTAAGGTAAGTTACTACACATGGGCAGAAGGCAGCCAGCTTCTTTACCAATATCATATAAATGGGCAATTAACTAGGAAACAAACCAGTGTATATATATATATTCCCTTTTGAGACCTCTTGAACCCTACTGCTACAGCCTACTTCTCTCTCCATAGTCTTTCAGATCCTGCTAGGGTAGACGGTTAAGCCCCGCTTACAGATTGAACCACTTTTCTATTACAAGGTCCCAAAGATTTCACCATTATTTGGGAAAAAAAAAAAAAAAAAAAAAAAAAAACACCAGATACAGTCAGGTTTTTCACAATAATACCTACACAATAATTCTGGTACCAGTTTCTTCTATGTTCATTTACTTTTCTATTGCTGTATAAAATACTGTGACCAAAGCCACTTATAGAAGGGATGGCTTGTTTGGCTCACAGTTCATCATGGCAAGGGCCACGCAGCAAGCAGCACACATGGTGGTTGCAGCAGAAGCTGGAGGCTCACATCTTAAACTGAAGTGGAAAGCAGAGAGTGTACCAGGAAAGGCATATGGATTTGGAAACCCAAAAGCCCAGTGAGGTATTTCCTACAGCAAGGCTGTGTCTTCCATGCCTCACTGGACAGCACCTCCAACTGGAGACCAAGTATTCAAAGTTCAGAGCCTATAGGGAATATTCTTATTCAAACTACCACAGGAAGGAATTCTTGCATGACACAATAAAACTAGCCTACTATCCTTGGCAGGTACACCCAAGGGCCCTAGGGATAACCTGTTATTGCCACTTCTCTAAACCAGTATGGTTTGTAACCACATTCTAAATCTTCTACTCACAGATAAGCATAGCTCTTGTATCTCATTTTAAATATTTATAAAAGCTCATGTTTTTCAGTAGCCAAAGGCCATTACAGAAAGACACAACTGGTCAAAATTCAGATAAAAACTCTCTGTGGTGTTCTTATCAGCAACGGATACATCTGCAGTACAACCCCTACACCTGATACTCAGAACAGACACCGTGAAGTGGTGGTGGAAAGGCTTTACAGCCAGAGGACCAGGACATCTGCTCAGCTGCAAGATAATTTCTTGTATTAGGTTTGGGAAGCTACAGCCATGAAATTTCAGTAACATGGATTCCTAAACAAGACCTGATAAAGGACAACACTGGCATGCCACTGTGACTGGGGAAATTTCACAAGGCCCTGTCCTTTATGAGAGCAGTCCTGTCTTCTCGAGGGACAAACTCCCAGATAGGGTTCCAATCCAATGCAGTTAGCCCCACGCATTCACATGTGAGCAACACTAAATGGTGTGTGTGTGTGTGTGTGTGTGTGTGTGTGTGTGTGTGTGTGTTGGGTAACATTGGAGCCCTGGCTGTCCTGAAACTCATTCTGTAGATCAAGCTGGCCTTGACCTCTGGGACCCACCTGCCTTTGCCTCCCAAGTACTAAGATTAAAGGGCATCCCACCACCCATCTGTAACAATAATAGTTTATGATGTAGAGGCCATGAATTTGAGAAGGCACTGGGGGGGGGGGCTGTGGAAGGAGTGAGATGGGGAGAAAAGGAAGAAATTATGTAAATACAGTACACACATGAAATTCTCAAAGATGTTTTAAAAAATTGACATTTAAAAACCCAGCTGGTATTCTGATGGGAAGCCTTTTAAAGTAACTTGTTCTTTCTTACAGCTTTCAATGTCCTTTATGCTATGAATTTAGTGTTTTGACTGTTACATGACATGAGGACTTTCTCGTCTGGTCCTGTCTATTTGGTGGTTTGTGTGCCTTTTCAACTTTAATATGAATGTCATTCTTTAGATGAGGCAAGTTTTCTTATATCATTTTGTAGAAAATATTTTCTTTGCCTTTGACCTGGATTTCTTACCCTTCTACACCTATTATTGTATGTTCAGTTTTCGTTGTTGTTGTTATTGCTGCTGTTTTTGTTTTTTAAGTAGCGTTCCAGTTCCTTCCTGTTCTGTTCATGGTTTCTCTCTTGTAATGGACTTGACATTTTCTGTGACTCAGTGATCACGCTCCTCTCCTTTGATTCAAAACCTGATACTCAACTTGATCCAGTCTAGGGATGAGGCTGTCCTCTGAGTTATTTCATTTTGCCTTTCTTCTGAGATTCTCATATAAGTTTTATTTTCATATCTTGTATTGTTTGTGTTATTCCACTCAAGTTTTCAGTCTTCATCCTGGTATTTGTTCATATCTTCATTGAGTTCCTTGTTCACATGTACTACGCTGTTTTATATCATTGTTTTGTGTAGCATCTGATTTGCTTTTGTTCAGGGAACATCACTATAGGAGTGGTGCTTTTTTAGTGATGATGTATTCTCTTCTGTGGCTTGTGCTGTTGCAATGGGACACAGATATCTGAAGTTACTTTGGTGATAGTGTTTCTTGGCATGGAAATTATGTCTCTCTATTGTTGACTTGATGTTTGGATCTCAGTTTCCAATGACCTGAAGTTGTCGGATTGTCCTGAGCAGAATGGGGTTTAGGGTTCAGTCTGGGAACAATTTAGTGTTCATGCTCAAACAGAAGTAGGTGGGTCTCAGCTCAGGCTGAGTGAAGCACCTAAACCCAGTAGAAGACCTTCTAGTTAAAAATATTTTGACTAGTTAAATGTCCTCAGGAGTCTGGAGTGGGGGGGGGGGGGGAAGGTGCTCAGGACTTGTGGAGAGGAGAGGCCCAGCTTAGAGATTAGTTACCATCTTGCATAGGTGGCCAGGTAAGGGTGGACACTGGATGTGGGACCCAGCCTAGATCTGGTGGATTAAGGAGGATGTGTTGGGGGGCTTTTATTGAGCTAGATCCTGGAGGAGAAGGATGAGCTGGATCTGGCTGGGTAAAGAGAATCTTATGTCTGTTTAACCATAATGCCTATTCAGTTTTTGTAATATTGTATACTTTTCTAATCAGTGGGGATAGAGTTTACTTAATTCTTCATTGAAAGAATATGCTAACACTATTTTATTTCCCCACTTTCCAGGTTTTTAAGGAGGAAAAATACTTGAAAGAGGCCATGGAGTGCAGCGATGTGATTTGGCAGCGAGGTCTGCTCCGGAAAGGCTATGGAATCTGCCACGGCACCTCTGGAAATGGTTATTCCTTTTTGTCCCTTTACCACCTTACACAAGATAAGAAGTACCTCTATCGAGCCTGTAAGGTGAGGACACCTCTATCCCCACAGCTCCAGAACTTCCCAGGACAGAGTCCAAAGCACAACTCCTCTCCACTCTTTGAATCCACTCCTCCCAATCTGTGCTTGAATCTACTTCTTCTGGCCTTGTCCTTGACCCTCTCTCTATTCTGTCTATGAGATGAGGGCAGCAAGCATAAAGGTTACTCTGAAGAACACAAGTTCTGGAATCATATTACCTGGTCAGAATTACTGCACTGCGTATAAGCATTATTTACGTGTTGTTGGTTTGCTTTCTGAAGAGTCTGAGCTAGCACAGATGGGCCTTGGTTTTGCTGTTGTTGAGGTTGACCACTCCCCTTCCCCAAGTTCTAGGGTTTCAGGTCTTTGACATCATACCCAGCTTATATAGAAGTTTTATTGTCTTAAAGTACATCGATTCTTCAAGTCTCCATTTCTTTATTGAAAAAAAAAGTGGGAAGAAAATGACTACCTATCTACCAAGGATATTTCAAGAATTAATTGAAATAACATGCAGACTATCTGCAATTGTTAAATCCTTCATTAGTTTCACATTCAACTGCACGTAAAACCTACACTCCTCTCGCAAGTTCCTGCAGTCCTGCACACTTGACCCTTGTCTGTTTCTCTACGTTGTCTCATCTTAACAGATATACCACCTCACGGTCTTCCTTCTCAATAGAATCAAGTCTAAACTGTTAGTGTCTATTTCCTTCCCTGCAATTTACAGGGGAAATTGCTATTCCAGTGTTTAACTATGGCAGTCTTCAGGATCTTTAAGACAGCCACATGGAAGAGTCGTCCAATTATTTGTTGAGTGTATTGCTTATAGCTTGGCTTCAACTGGTGAACAATAAGTTTCATGATTGTCCTTGTCTAGGTTACTCTCCTATGAGCATCAGTAGCACATAGCCCCAAATAGAAACGATTAAATATGCCTTGAGTACATTTTCATGAATGGTAGCAAGCTACACTTGGTAAATGCTTGTATATGTTTTTATTACTATGCATGTTTCTCATGGTGTAATTATGTGCACACCTCAGGAAGCCACTGAGCTACTCCTGAGCCCCCTCTTCAGTTCTTATGAATTCATTAAAGGGTCCCATTTATTGCCTCTTCAGAATTTCTATTCCTAAAAAGAATTGTCTTTCTTTTTAGTTTGCAGAGTGGTGTCTAGATTACGGAGCACATGGGTGTCGCATTCCTGACAGACCTTATTCCCTCTTTGAAGGTAGGACAGTATGAAAAACAAAACTGTACATTTGAGTATTTGGGCCAGGGAAATTGGGCTAGTTCTCTGTTCTGAGGACTAGCATTAGTGCATTTGATGTTGCTTGAGTAAAATTACAGAACTAAAATAAAATGATAGCAAGCCAGTTTATCTTTCCTACATTTGCTTCTGCTGACGTCTCCACTTCTTTGATGTATATATGCAAACAAAGTCTGGAAGGCTTAATGGATGGGAGAAGATAGTAAGTTTCCTCTTCTGCATTTTGTCTATAATAATACACACACACACAAACACACACACACACACACATATATTTTCACAGGAAATTTAGTTATTTAAAATACACTTAGTTATTTAAATTATATAAAGAATTACTAGTAACTGATTATTAATTGATAGTAGTAATTGGGTAATTGGGTATTAATTATTAGAAAAATAAGAGTGAATATTAAAGGCATATTAATGTTCTTATGGATGGTTATAACAAGGCCCTTTGTAGAAACAACAATAATTAAGTTTGCCCAGGTTGATAAATATATAAGAATGTAATATAATTAATATAATTATAGTTGAAGTCCTAGAGAGGTAGCAATCCTTTTTTGCTTGTTTGTTTGTTATATATTTTTCATACAGAGTCTCTCTATGTATCCCAGAATATCCTGAAACTTGCTGTGTAGACCAGGCTTACCTTAAACTCACAGAGATCTGTCTGCCTCTGCCACTCAAGTGCTGGGATTAAAGGCATGCATCACACTTGGCCTCCCAAATTGTGTGTGTGTGTGTGTGTGTGTGAAGTCTTACATGTGCATGCTGGCATGCACACATACATGTTTCAATTAAATGATAAACCACAGTGCAAAGACTTCATAGCATTATGATAAATTGATAATAACTTTAAACCACATTTTTTAAACTATGCCCCAGCATGAATTTTAGAAGCAATAAGGATTGAATTATTTCAAGTCAAGTAGATAGGCGATGGATTTTGTCAATTTTTTTTTCTGTATCAGTTGAAATAATAAGGAAAAAAATCTCAGAATAAAACTTTAGATTTTTATGTCACTAAAACCTGTGGCAGGCATGGTGGTCCTTGCCTGTAATCACATCACACTGTTGGCTAAAGCATCAGATTATGGGTAGGAGTCTGGCCTCGCTCTATATTGAGGCCCTGTCACAGAATAAATAAACAGGAGATGCATTTACATCAGACCACAGGAGTCAGTGTCTGACTCTAAATGGAGGCCACTGATGCTTATACATTCAAGTTTAAAATAGCAACTTTACCCACTGGATCAAAATTCCACTTTTGAACAGTTCCCCCATGGCTAGGAAACCAGCAGATTGTGTCTGTCCTGTGCCTCATCAATGCATGGCAGACAGAACTAGCAATAACTATTAACCAAGTTCTCATCTAGGAGTCCAACAGATAGTTCTATCCATAGAGAACACTGGCTTTATCTGCTGCTTTCCATGAGTACTCACTGTTAGAATTTAGGCATTTTACTGATCTGCCTTTGGAGTTCTGACAAGATACGACCTCAGCTGCTGCCACTAAGAGAGCCTCCTGTGCCTATTCATTATGTTCTTTTTTAAAGGTCCTGCCCACCTCCCATCCCTTTCTCTCTCTTTCTCTCCCCGTCCCTGTCTGTCCCTCCCTCCTTCCCTCCCTCCCTCTCTCTCCTCTCTGGAGGCAAGTCTTCCCCCTCCCCTTCCCCATTTTTATGATCCTTTTCCCTAAATAAAATAGCTATCCACTTGAACTGTGTTACACGGGCTCTTTCTCTCTTGAGCTGCTTTTTTTAAATTACAACATTGGTTCCCTGAATCACCGAGGCGGCTTATGCCTTGTCTCATAAAAGCCGCTGGATCTTGTTCAACCTCACTTATGGAGAATGAGCCTATCAAAACTCCACTTCCTGGCACTTTGTAATCACTTCACACTGGGACCTACCCACCTGCTTCACCCTCAGTAGATCTGCTCTTCTTCACTGCAACAAATCTGCTTTTTCATTCGATGATGGCTTTGCCTTCCATTCCACCAAAGGCGGTATCCTGTGGGACCGGTGCCTGCCTACGAAACCCAGAAACAGGCATTATAAGGGCCTCTTTTTGTTTCTAATGGGTTCCAATAGGTACATGTATTATTATTATTATTATTATTATTATTATTATTATTATTATTTAAATAATAAAGTGTCTAGAACCCTTTCATCAAATAAAAACTTACAGAGAAAGCTGGGACTGACCCAAATGTTCTTCAGTAGCAAAATTAGGACAGTCTCTGTCGCACTACTCAGCAAGAAGGGCAGACTACTGACTGACACCCCCAGACAGACATCAACTGCAAGAACCCAACTCAGTGAGGAAGTCAGTCCCCAGAGGCCACCCATGCTCTGAATCGGACAAACTCAACTATGTCAGTTACCTCTAACAATGGAGTGCAGGGACACAGAACCTTGCTGGGGTGATAGATCATTCCAGAACTTGATAGAAGTTTGTTCTATTCCAATTTGCACAATTGTCAAAATTCAAAGAGTTACATCTAAGATTTGTGTATTTGTTTGTGTGTGAATTCTGTGGCAAAAGCAAACCTAAACTAACTGAAACTCAGAGTGGAATTCCTCTGACTAGGTGGAGACATAGGCCCTCAGTCCCCACCACCATAAACGTTCCTGTCAGTCAACTCTGAAAGCTGTTGTTACTCTATTCCCCGCTTTTGGAGAGGGGGTACCTTTTGACAAAAACAAATGTGCACTTATTTGAAAATTGCTTTCTTAGAAACTAAAGAAAATGTAAAATGTGAGATTATAAAAGCTCTGACAAGAAAATTTCATTTGTAGACATACAGTTGGCAACATCCTTAAATTCTTCAAGGGCTTTTATTTTATCATTGGATTAAGGTACTTGACCCTCACACCTGTTAGCTAAGGACTGTTGCCACATCCTACATCTACATCCATATCTATCTGGTAGATGCTGCAATTAACATCTTAACATTTCATATGCAAGATGAGAATCCAAAATCCACTTCTTAAAACACAATATAGTAGAGTTGAAGAAATAGGTCATAGGCAAATTCACTTGTCACAAAGTGTGAGAATCTGAGTTTGAAGCCCCTGAACCCAGATGTGTAGATATGTAGCTTAAGTGTGTAATCCCAGCACTTTGAAGAGGAACTGGGAGGTGAGGCAGGAGGAACCTCGGAATCTTGTGAGTCAGCTACAATGGTATGTATGCAATAGAAAACGATGGGGATCCTGTCTCAAACAAGGTGGAAGGCAGGACTGACACTTCAAGTTTCTGCTGTTATCTGTATTCACAGTGCATATGCCTGAATTCAAACATTCACACAAGACAATAAAGAATGGTTATTGGGTACTGTCTGAAAGGATGTCACTTAAATTGGTGATTGCACTTTTCCTTATGTCCTCACAGCCCCTGTAGAGGAAGGGATTAAATGTCACCTTGCTCTATTCACTAACGTATACAGTTCTCAAAAGATGCACATTTTGCTTTGCAGGTATGGCTGGTGCTGTACACTTTCTCTCTGATATCTTGGTACCAGAGACATCACGGTTTCCAGCATTTGAACTTGGCGTTTTACAGAAAGATTAAAAAGGTGCAAAAAGACAACTAACATACCCGTTGGACCAAAAGCCACCTGACTGATTAGTGCCTGACACAGAACTTACTGAGAAATCCTAAAAGACAAAGAAAAATAAAAGGGCAAAAGTCTCCACAGGCCCCTTTTGTTGCAAAGATCCCCAAATTAGAGCATGAGCGATAGAAACTACATCATCAGCATTTTGTGACTGTGTTTCCCTTAATGGTGAAATATGAATTCTTCATATCTAGGCTCCCTGTAGTGTGCATGTTTCTTGGTGCTTGTCTATAGGTGTAAACTGACTAACTAGAAAAGCCACACTTGTCACACGAACTCTTAGCTGAGCACGTGTGTTTAAGGCAACAGCCCCACATTTTTGTACATAGTATCTAGAGTGTCCTCTCTATCAACAAAGAAACAGTTGTGTGACGTGTCTTAAACATCAGCTAGCAAATCTAGATACCCTGTGAGAAAACCATGTTAGCATTTCCCGTGGGCCATTTTCAGAAGAACACGAGTGAAAGACAGCTCCCTGAACCGGAAGGAAAGTGTGCGAGTCAGCGTGCACTGTGGAGCTCGGGAAGGCACAGCTGCCTCCCTTATTGTTATCTTACAGTCAGCACAGTTAGTGACTGAACATTAGCAATTCCCAGACATGTTATTAAAACACACTCCACCTGTCAGTCAGCACTATAGCTTATTGCTGTGTAAAACAGAGTAGATATAATGCCAGCCCGATCCACCCATGCCCCTTCAAAAGTTTATTTCACATTTTGATAAAGTTATGAATTTCAAATTAATACATTCCTTATTTTCATACAAATTGAAGTAATAAAATAGATTCTACGCTGAATTTATACACATAAGGAACAAAGTATTGTAACCAAGACATATTTATCTAGGTGATTTTTAAATTATTTTTAAGGACATTAAGTTGGATTCATCTATGGTTAGTAACCCTGTCACATAAATTTCAGAATTTGGTTATTGTACATGATACAAGTGTGCTAGATTTCCTAAGCATGTTTTGTTGTGGAAATAATGTCATAAAAGACAAAGCAGGATTGTGTAATAATCTGGACCTCAGTACTTTCAGACTGTGGCCATGCATGGACCATTTTGAGTGTTGGACCTTGCTTGTGGGGCTGGTACCCTAAACATCCAGCCTTCAGTTTCCATCCAGGTGATGCCTGAGTCTCTTCACACATGTACTCTTGATTCTAAATCATGACTGTTCTGTTCACCGTGGGTTGATTACTTCCACGTGTATAAATCCCTAGGATTATCCTTTAACTCACTTCCTGAGCCTGATAATGGGCTTCTCGGGGCTGTCCAGTAAGTACCTCGTTACCTGAAGGTAGGGCAAACCATCCCAAACAGGCTGAGGGGAAGCCTTTGTGCACAAGACCTCATGAGCTGTCAGTCTCATCTGAACCAAACATTTTTCATCTTCTTAACCATTTCATCAAAAATAATACACGGCAGAGCTAATCTCTGGGACCCTGATTGCTTACTTTCTTGAAGGAAGCCCTTTTCTGAGTCAGGGTGGCAGCTTGTAGGGATTTGACCAAGGCCCTCAGGCGGCAGTAGCAGTGGTGAGGCTCCCCTTATGTGCACTCATACCTGTCCCTTTCTGACCAACATGGCTGGCGGGAGAAAAATAAAACACCCATGGGGTGAGTGGGGACGGCTTTGTTTACAGATTTCCTTTAAGACAGGTGGATTGTTGCCTTCCTCCTCACCTTGGTGAGTCGACAGGTGTGCCTCTTGGTCTCTACATTGACGTCTTCCCTCCTACTCTGCACATGGCTGCTGTGCTACAGAAGCTGCAGCCCCTTCCCATGAGGCAAAGGAGAATGGCTTGAAAACTGGGACTGTGGGCTCACATTTAACCATTTGATACCTTTAAGTGATTGAAATCAAATTTAAGAACATCTCACTTTTGTTTCTTAGGCTTGTTTTATGTCAACAACTGTATTATAAATGTGGTGAAAATTTAAAAATGCGTACACACAGAATACCATTAAAATCTGGAGGGAAAAAGTTACTGTCCACAGAAAGTGTTTGGGGTTCTTTGGTTTTGTTAATAAAAGACAGTTTTGTGGTGATAATTTATGGAGTCTTTATATGTGTTCTCATTTCTGTCTCAGTTCAACAGTGTCAAAGTGAGTAATTCTGTGATTATCTTGGTCTTTACCTCTTGGTCACAGTCGAGCTTCTGTAGTTATAATGATCAAAATGATGTTACCAGGCATGTGGCAATACCAGTGACTTCAGTCCTCTTCATGAGAAAGACAAAGCCTTCCCAGAATCCCTGAGAGTGGTGTTTTATGGCCGTTTCATAGCCAGAATTTGTCATATCACCTTCTTCCACCATAAGACCTGGGGAAATTAATATATATGGTTCTTCCTGGTTATGGAAAAGGCAAGGCTGGAGTTAGGAGTGAGGGGTTAGAAATACCAAGTGCCCAAAGAGTTGATCCGTGATTCAAATAAGGAAGCATTTAAGAATGGTAGTATGTAGCAGGCTGCGGTGCGCCTTTAACTGAATTGTGAGTGTCATAATTACTTTCTATTGCTGTGACAGATCACCATTACCAAGGGTAAAATAGAACCTTTAATTTGGGGCCCATGGTTCCTAGGGGTTAGAGTCCATGACCATTATGGCTAGGAACAGGACGGCAGGCAGGCATGTCGGCAAGCGCAGTGCTCAAGTAGTAGCTGAGATCTTACACCCTGATCTGGGAATGGTGTGACTTTTGAAACTTTGAAGCTCATCACAAGTGACACACCTCCTCCAACAAGGCCTAACCCTTCCCAAACGCGTGCGCGCACGCACGCACGCGCACACACACACACACACACACACACACACACACACACACGAGTCTATAATGGGCCATTCTCATTTAAACCACCACAATGAGTAATGCTTAAAATACAGTGAGGACTGTGATACTGCTTCAGTCAGGGGTTGACTCAAACACTTAAAGCATCTGCATATCCTCAAAAAACAAGAAGTGTTTTGCCCTGGACATGAGTGCTTCCACTTAAAATGAAGTGACGGCAATTCAAAAGGAGAGTTGCCTGAAGCTATGTTTGGAAGTGGAGAGCTATTTGGTGAACTCCTATGTGTGTACTTAATGCTACATTTCATATATGCATGTATCTCACATAGTTAATGCTATGTTTCATATTCTCTCTGTAATCCTTATATGTTAGTCAGCTTCCCATCATTATGGCAAAATGCTCAAAAGAAACAATTTAAGAGAAAGTTTACTTGGCTCAGGACTTCCTAAGTTGCAGTGCATGGTTGGCTAACTCCGTTGCTGTAGGCCTATGCTGAGGAAGAGCATCCTGGCATCGGGTGCCGCCACTAAGTGCTATCCTATAGCTTTTAACCAGCATCCAGGGGTCATTAATTACAAAGCCATTGGTAGGAAACCCACAGGTTATGATGATGCCCACAGGATCTAATGAAGAACATTTGCTCTTATACTGTAATATATGGCCTCTAGAGAACATTTTAGATACATGATACTTCATGCTGCCAGTTTTGGTTTGTCAAGCCTTTTCAAGAAAGTGGTGTGTACAAATACTGAGAGGCCCATGTAACAAAGGAACAAACATGGGGGCTTCTTTACCTTTCACATTTGCAATCCTAAGTGGGCCAAATCAACACATACCATTATAACAATGATTCTATAATTCATTCAAAATTAGCACTCCCCATAGTGCTACATTATTATGGCTACAACAGTTTCCGTGTATAGTCGTGCATAACCCAAGCAGTGCTGGCAAAGGCTGATAGGGAGAATCAGTACGCTATGTTGAACATGGTAAAAAAAACAAACATGAGGACTCATACTTTGATCTAGCAACTTGTTTCTCATATTTTATTTCAAAATATAGGCATTCATAAAAAGAATGAGAATTACACAGCACAATAGGAGCCATAACAAAGAAAGAGTAACAATGTGAACAAAACAAGTTGAAAATGTACTGTGATTATAAAGTTCAAAATGAAGAATAGGGCAGAGCAAAACATAGTAAAATCATAAATAAACTAACGGAATTGTTATCACAAAATTTGAAATAATGATGGGCCATGGGAGGAAGAGGTCCACAGGGGACTCTATTCAAGAGATAGGGAGGGAGGACCTTTAGGTCCCAGTAAGCAGACTGGTTCACTGGTTTCCTAAATCTTTAGGCAATGAGGTCCTGGCTTTCTCCCTGGGGCTGGGACAGGAGGGCCCACAGAGTATAAAAACTGAGCATTGGCTAGTATTGGCCATATGTCATCAAAATCATACTCATAATTTTAAATGTATAAAATGTTATGTTAATTTCAAGTAGAAGAGTGTGTTTAAAGGCTTCATCAAATGTGGCTGGGCTGCAGACTGGTTGTGTGCTGTGCAGTCCAGGCATCAGGGAAGACTGAGTGCTGTGAAAAATACTGCAGGAAACTGGGCCACAGATCTCTGTTTTAACCCTGAGTACCTCTGGAGAGGGGGAGGCAGCAGAAACACCCCAAATGCTACATAAACCAGGCTCTCTAGCGCCTTCCATGCCTCTTCACTCGACATTGTATGTATTGAGTGTGCACTGTTTTCTGAGTAAGAGAAACAAAGCTGATTTTGCCTGAGATTTTTAAACCTTTAGACTCAGGCTGTTACCCAAGCACCTTTGGCCGCTCTATCCACATGGTGGCCAACACTTGGAGAGCCCTGTGCATTGTTCGGGGCCACGGTAGACTGTGTATGGGGCAGCCTTTGTCTGCTAGCTCCTCTCTCCACTGCCCATCTCCAGATGACAGCCCATCCCAGAGTCTTGTCCACCACACTGTGGTGAGGGCTGGAGTTGAGATCGCCTTCAAGCCTCCCCATGCCCATGTACCTCGTCATCCCGCCTCTACTGGAGGAAATGGAGGTGACTTGATGTTGGCTTTTTTTTTTTTTTTTTCTTTGCTTTTCAGGGCCATGACACCCAGCTCCCAAATAAATACACGGAGTCTTGTTACATTCGAATGCCCTTGTGGCTAGCCAGCTTTTCTTAAGTTATCCCATCTATTTCCTATTCCTTTTCTATTTTCTATTCCTTTCTTCCCTTCTTACTCTGTGGCTGGTGGTGTTTGCTGGGCGGCTGGTACCCTGTCACCCTCCTCTACGCCTTTCCTCAATCTCTCTTTTTCTTTTATCTATTCTCTCTGCCTGGCAGGCCCACCTAGCCCTCCTACCTAGCTATTGGCCATTCAGCTTTTTATTAGACCAATCAGGTGTTTTAGATAGGCAAAGTAAGACAGAATTAAAGAAATACAACATAAAGGAATGCAGCACATCTTTGCATCATGAAACCCATGTAAGCATAAACTAACGTAACACATCTTGAACCAATGTTTCACAACAGCCTGAGCCTATCACCTCAACCTGGGCCAGCACCACAATCTCAACAGCAAACAGGGCTCTCTCTCTCTCTCTCTCTCTCTCTCTCTCTCTCTCTCTCTGACACACACACACTTTAGGAGCATCTCTCCAAACCTTTATACCCACCCTCTAGAGGCAGAGGCCACACTCAACAGCTCCCACCATTGTTACCTGCACCCCATTGGCCCCTGTCCACATGGTGGCCAACACTTGGAGAAGCTTTAAGGCCTCCTGTGTACCTTTGCCAGTGCTCCTGACTTCACTGTATTTAACCCTGACACCTTTTAGAGCTTTTTAAACACTTGTTTCCACTGTAACACCGTGGTCCTCCCCACTCTCTGGCTTCTATAGTGGTCCCAATGGGCTGCATCTCCACTGGTACTTTAATTTTAGCTTTTTATTTATTTATTTGTTTGTTTATCTATTTGAACGCTTCTAGACCTCTGGGAGAAAATTTCTGTGTTTCATAAGCTGAAAGGACTAAGATAAGAATTGAAAACACTAAGGATCGTTTTTTGCTAGGAAATGCCTCCGCAATTAGATAGGAGGGCTGGCGTAGTCAAGGACAGCCCTCAGGGTCAAAAGTGCAGCACACAAGGAGGAAGAGCACTGTGGCTGTGTCTCCTGGAAAGCATCTACAGGGAGGTGATAAGAGCCTGGGGTCACTCTCTCCAGCCTATGAGGTTTCACTTTGCACAGCATCTCCCACTCACTGGGACGACAATTCAGCTTTGCATTACTGTAACAAATAGCAAAGAAAACCAAACTAAGCAAGCAGGGTTATTTTGGCTCAGTTTTCCAGGTTTCATCTCATGATGAGGCGTCGGTCTGATCACTCTGGGCCAGTGATGAGGCATTAAATCATTCAGAGGCATACGGTAGATATCATGGCCAAGGACAAATATATACTTCAGCTTTAGGAGCTGAAGTCCCAATACTCAATTTAAAGGTCCACTTAACAATCAAGATCTCCCACCAGATCCTCCCTCTTCTTCTGCCACCTCATAACACAAGTGTGGACCCAGCCTTTAACACATGGGCCTTGGAGGCTGTGTATTTTAGATTCAAAGTGTAGCAGAGATCTAGAGATTGTGGGAAAGCCATAAAAGTCCTGGGGTATGAAGACGTTAATAAAAACATTGAGTAACTTAAAGTCATTTCTTAAAATCGCATAACGATGGGGAGTATAGCTCACCTCTCAGCACAGTAAGGGTCTCACCACTCACTCAGGGTGTGCTTGGTGAGGAGCAAGCTCCTGGCCCCCGGCGTGCCTGCAGCATCCCCAGGTGTAGCCCACTAAAGTTCTCTCAGGTTCTCCTGTCAGAGCCAGTGTGTGCCCTTCCTGCCCCTCCTGTGCTCTGGTCAACATATCTCATCAGGCTTTTATTTCAGAGATTATGCCATGTTTTTATTCTAGTTCTTTTTGCTTTGTTTTGACAACTATTATGGATATTTGGGAGCTCACTGGGATTTAGAAAGAACAGATGAAAGTGAGTTCTAGATTTTCCATCTTAAGTCATGGGAGAGGCTGGCTTGTGGGGGTTACCTTTCCTGCCTAAGAATATGTGCAAGTAGGCAAACCTCTTCTGTCTTGTTCCTTGTCTACCTGAATGGGTTGAGTGAGAGCAGAATTTGCCAAACCTATCCTTGCAATACTCCTAACCAAATAAAACTAGGCAGTCATGGAAACAA